AGCGCGGGCTTCCGAACCCCGAGAGCGGGCGCTGGATCTAGTGGTTAAGGAAGTAGATAGGGACGCGCCCGTCTACATCCCCTCCACTGGATCCATATGCGAAACCCACGAGCACAGCCGCCGCTCCACCTCAGCGAAAGCGGGGTCGGCACTGCGAGAAACGCTAGTGAAGGCTCTCTCCTCAAAGAGAGCCCACTGAGAGCGAAGCAAGGCAGTAACAAACGCTACCAAAACGGGCCGTCAGCTCCTTTTTTTCCGAGAGCTGACTCTGCGTGCTTGCTCCCAAGCAGACAGCAAACAAACTATGTGTATCCCCACCCGTAAAGTAACGCGGGCAGGGAGGAACACACAGCCTGAACGCTGCCTGCCCTTGCCTTAGGTGACTGGTTTTGTCTTGTTTTTAGATTCGTGACTTGCTGAATGACAAAAAGCTGACACTGGTCTCACCGCACGTGCTTTTATAGCTTCCTGGTCATTACGTCACCCGCCCGTGACGTCTCGCCCATCTATTGGTCTGATTACACACGAGGTTCAGAGCCGGTCACGCTGAAGGGCGTTCCCGAAGCGTCCTCCGACGCAGCTCGAGTTCCTGAAGAGGAACCATGATACATGATGAAATGGTGTATTTTTTCCCCTGCTTCATTGTCTTTGCTTTTACTTTTTGTATCGAGACACTTTTTTGGTGATCATTCCAGCTTGAAAAGCTCATTTCATTTCTAAACTGGAACTTCCTGAAATTCATGGCTTTGGTATAAGACCTTAGAGTCAAGGCTTCTCTTCCTGCCACATGACTTCCCCCTCAGGACTGATAAAAGACTCAGTCAGCTGAAAATGAGCAGCTTTCCACACATCCGCCACCTGTCCAGGGAATGACTACCACCAGGAAGTGAAATAAGTCTGGCGCTGACTCGCTCAAGTCAATCAGACAGCACTTACTTGCAAGGTTAGAGTGAACATCGGTCACTTTAACACCTGAGAGCTAAAATACACCTACCACCTCTACAGGTATTCAACTGCGTCGGCCCACAAAGATACTTGACTACACCTGCTAAACCAGAAAACCTCCATGCAACTCATTTGTCATTACATTTATGGATTATCAGATTGCATCAACAGCATTAGAGCATTTCTAAAGGAATACTATTGCAGGCCATGTTAGTGATGAAGTGCCTGGGATATAGATCAAAGAAAGGATGTTGAATTTGAGTGAGAGAGCTGAAGCATTGCATATTACTTGCTCTCCTGCTACTCAGTTGAAGTTTATATCAAACACTGACAGATACTCAATAGTGTTTTCTGACTTCTGGCTTAATATTACAGAGCACTTTTCCCTCACTTCTTTTCTTTTCTGGATGCCATTCTGAAATTCAGCTTAAGTCTGAATGCTTTTAAAATGTACAGATCTTACATGTTTTCTGTATCTGCAGGATGCCATTGAATGTCTTATAATGATTTGACTTAAAAAGTTGTAGGGTGAGATGGTGTAGGATTTCCTCCGGGGTAAGATCTCCCACCACTTGACCACAGATGTCACTAAATATTAACACATTTTGTTGTTGTTTTTGAATGTTTTCGCTCTTAATATTCTTTCACTCGGTCTTTAATCTTCTGAACATCAACATTTGATTTATTCTTTCTAAAGAGTTTGTGAGGTTATCTTCTTGTCTTATTGTTATCATCATTTTGTACATGCTATAAATACATCTCTAAATATGATCGTTTGGATACAATAAATGGATACTGTTCTTAAAAGGGGCATCTTCCTCCATCTTACCCTGCTATACTTATTTGTTTATACACAAACATTAACACATTTATTTGTTGTTCATTTATTCAATTGTACAGGCATGCAGATCGGGATTCTGATGGTCATATCAGCTTCAAGGACTTTGAAAATGTCATCAGCTATGGTTTGGCGAACATCTGCAGCTCCACACAAAATAAGAGTCTGGAAACTGCTTCTGAAAACAATACATCAAACTAGATCTCCCATAAAACAATACGTATTCACATCCTTGCGAGTTTTCCCCCCTTTCTTTTTGGCTTTTAATTGAAAGCTTTGACAGTCAGGTGTTCACATTGACTCTTCAATAGATAATTGTTAGCAATTTAGAGAAAACCGTTTGGCCTTGTCTGTTGAAAGCCAGAGTAACCTCAAATGCTTGATACTTGGGTTTGATGATGAGTTTTGATGTTGTATCGATCCATTTGGACTGAGGCTGCACCACGTAATAGAGAAGCACACATTTTTATTGTGCAGTTGCCTTACAAACTACATTAAATTTAACCCAGCCTCTCAGGGTCTACTTCACTAGATGCGGGAACAATATTCCCATCCCAGCTTTCTGATATTCTGTACTCTGTGTCTCTTAAAATGAATTCTGTGAGTTCTGTCACCCCATTTTATGGCAAGTAAGGGGTCGGATCTTTAAAATTCTCCTTCCTCGTTCAATTTCCATCTGCAAAATAGGCAGGTTGGCTTAAAATTGAATATTAACTAGCACATTCAGATTCTGTTTTTGCAGAACTCCCTGCTAGCGACATACAGTATATTAAAAAGCCCAAGCGTGCTCGTTCAGGGAGGATTTTATACAACTCGTCTTGTTACATGCGATTATGGAACTGTAAATACTTGTTTGTGTTTCGAGAGATTTGCTGCACTCCCATCTAAATAAAGATGAATTTGTTGTTGTAATCAGTCCTGAGTCTTCATCTGTATGACATGATGCTCACTCTATCCACAATCCATCAGGCGGCTCAGGAGGCATCAAGTAAGGAAATGGCCTTGGAGAGTTTTAAACAGATACGTGCTTAATCCACTCAAAGGTTCATTTTCGGCAATGGTCCGCTGTTCAAATATAAACAGAGAGGTTTTAGTTTAATCTTCACCTTCCTCTTTGTAACTCGATTAAACGAATCCCCCAGTTTAGTTGCCGTATTGTGCTGTGGGAGAGAGCGTGCGACACCGTGAGCTAAACCCGTGCGAGGAAAGAAGGTAGAGCTGTCTTGCGACGTAGCTTCAATCCAATCCAAGCCTTGCCAACAGTGCAAAGAGCCGTAGATTAACACATTGTGTGCCTGTTGTTTATGCCAGCCATTTGAGGGAATAGACCATGTTTCTTTGTGTTCTCAGTAGCTCTTTTTCTGCCGATGAGGATAGCTTTCTATTTTTCTCATTCGTTTTCATGCCATCGAGCTGCTATGAGCTGATAGCGAGAAAAATAATTAAACAATTGACAGTTGTGGACAAGACCAAATGCATTTGAAAATAATAATAGACACAGTCAATTTAATGTGAGCAACAACTATGTGTAATCAAGTTACAGTGGGCTGCATTTTTTACTTTGTGATTTACGTTAGCATTTGCAGTCTGGTTAACCCACACTGTGAAGATATCAGTGCTGTACAATAAGCCGTTAATTATTTTCATGTTATGGCCATTAACAAATAAATAAATTACAAATAAAAACATAAAAAAAATAACATCAACCATTGTAAATGCTACAAATGCAGGCATCACAACATTATAATGTACAGTATGGAAAATATTAATTTTGACATTTGCTAAAGATGCATTTTTATTTTATTAAATTCTTAGTATTTTTAAAGATTAACTTTAATTGAGCGTTTGATGACAGCAAAGGTAATTCAAATTTGTCAAAATATGGGAAATAAGCATGCACAGTATTAAATATATATATATATATATATATATATACACACCACACACACACACACACATATATATATATATATATATATATATATATAAATTCTGATTAAATAAAATCTCTAATATCAGCCAATAACCAATGCAGAGTTTCAAAACATAATGGCTAAAGATGTGCATAATTTAATGTCGACATTAAGGCTGTCACAAAATCAGTTCACTACAGTTATTGTGGCCAAAAGAATTCACTAGCAATATTATTGTGATATCTATATAAAGTTGACACAAAGAGACCCATAATAATGCTATCAACCGAATTTATACAAGTGTAGGGAGGTGGAGACATAGTTTGAAACAATAACTGTACAAAATCGTACACAAATAATTTAATGTTATTAAAATAACATTTAAAAAAAAAAAAACTTTGAATAAAAAAAAAAAATCACTGTTGTCATCAATACCAGTATATTGCGACACCTTTGGTCTACATAGATTACTGTAGTTAAAATGCCCCAAATTCTCTGATTTTTATATTGATTAGCTGTTCTAGTTGGATACTGTACTGTACTGTTTTTCTCTAGGAGAGTGACTGAGGTGCACAATTACTTTACTAAGGGGGGGGTAAGGATGAAATATCATTAATCAGGGCTGGCAGATACAAATGAGGGACCTTGCTCCCTGCTCAACCTGCTAGCAAAAAGAGAGCTTCTCCACAGAGCGCTCTATCTGTGGAGGACGAGAAGCTCTGTTTCAGTCCATCAGTGCCGTCTTTGCGGGGTTCTTGTGTAGTTCGCTCTGAGCAGACCTGTCACGGGCTGCTTGTTCATGCTGTTGTCACCGCTGCTACTGAAAGTCAAGTCATTGTTAACATGACGCTCTCTAAAGCAAAGTCTGGAGAGAAAATTTATGGGCAGTGTGTTTGAATAGGAAACTGCGCAGATGGTCTAGAAATTCAATGTAACTGGTATTTTTGAGGTTCAATGCCCAAATATGCACATTATAATGAAAACACTGGAGCCGTGGCCTAACAGTTGACCTAGCAGGTGCTTTGAACCTGAGGTGTTCAAGTGAATGACACAGTTAGTATCAATCTTGTCAGATTTTCTCATATTTCCCACTTTCTTCATCGTTGCATGTCACCTCTACAGTACAATTTCGTATCAATAAAAGGCAAAAATGAACAAGGAAAAAGAGATTTTACACCATATATGCTACTCGAGGAAGGCTTGGTGGCCAAGTGAGAGGTTAGGACATATTTGAAACCTTGCTTTCTAATCTGAGATAATGCCTGTGATACTTTTATGTAATCTGAATGATCAAGATTAAGATTAAAAGAGAAAGCAACCTAATTATACATTCTACATTTTTCCTTTGGTTGGCTACCATCTGTAGTGGGGTTAAACGTATACAAATGTTTGCTCCAAGCTAGTTTTTGTAAAGGCTTACAGTCACTGATAAATGCAGACAGTGAAGGCACATTCCAAGGCGCTATGAGCATATTGATTTCCTTATGGGGGGGCCTATTAAACATGATTTATAGATACTTTTCTTTCCCTTAAGCTGTGTTTAGCCACACATAAGCCCAGACGTAATGGAGAGAATGGATGAAAAATGACAGGTGATTTACTCAGAACTCAGATGAACTGACGAAGCCAACGTGGCGTCTCCTCACGGTACCCTAAATCACTCATCACGTTCAAAAATTAAAGACGTGTTCTTCGTTTATTTGTGTATTAGCTTAATGAGGTATGAAACCGCTACATGGATGGAATGAGACCAATTTACATCTTCGGTTTGAAGGGTTGTTTCAATTGATTTCTTTTCCTTTATTTTATGTGCCACTCCAAAATACTTTTTATAGGTTCAGGAAATCCAACAGATCTTCGAAACCTTTATATCCAGATAAATGTTTTACTTGCTTTGCCGCTGGTGTTTCCAAATGGAATTGCAATAAAATGACAAATATGTTTTCGAACAGATTTCTTGAACACTCACTCCTTCTGCCATTGGACAAACAGATAGTCCTGCTCTAAATTCACACCATTGGGTGAACTGATGTTGCTGTGTTGATGTTGACAGTAGTTTGGCAACAGGATGGTAAGATTACCAAGATAAAATTCACAATATATCAAGTGCACGGTGTAGAAATGAATGGATCTGCTTTATGTACACAGAGAAACAGCACATGCATCATTAGTAAATTAGAAATTTACCGCTGATTAGTCTTTGAAGTCACATTAATGATGCAATTACTCTCTGAAGTCACTTTAATGAAGGCACTTAATGTAATATTGTAATATATTAATTGAGAATATTATGTCTTTTTATGTCGTAGTAAGACCTTGATATCACGGAGGCTCTGAAATTATACATTTAAGTCAGCGTAAAGACTGCATATGGTGTTGAATGCAACAAATGTGGCCTTCAAGCACCCCACAAGATTCATTTTACTTCATGCCTTGGGTGGCTGGGCGTAGAGTCTCTGAACTCTAATTATATGTGCAAACAGAGCTGAAGCCCATATTACTGTATCACAGAGGGTTTGGCTCAATTAGCTTGTGTAAATATCAAACTGGCAGCCACTGAAGAGCCTCTTATCACCGTATTATGTATTAAGGTGCTGTTCTGTTTCACTGCCTTTGATTCATTATTGCACAAACATTAAATCATTATGTTTTAACAAGCCTCTTCTGTTTTTGCGCTAATGAATTAAAGCTCATCTGTAAATTTATCAGGATATGATGCATTCGCATCATGCATTTGATGCATTTGCTCTTTTATTGATTTATGCATTTTCTCAGCAGCATGGACAAATGGCTGACAAAAGCAGATTTTGAAACACACTGTGATACTATTGTGTGGATTTTTCGGGTTCCCTGATACTCTGTGTACACTTTTAGTAGAAACGGATCCACATTTCTAGTCAGATCATCCAGATTTACCAGTTTAATCCAGAATTGCAACCCATGGTTCCCATATGATGGATGTTAACTTTATGGTGAATGACAATAATTTACTGGCTAATAAAATTAACGTTTTATTTGTGTTCAAGTCCACATGATTTTTCTTGGAAGTTCTCCCTTTGTCACTATAGCAAAAGAAAGCTGTTTTTGGCCAAATAAATCATTAGAATACAACACCGATATGCTCTAATAATGATAAGCCACACTGCATGTTAGTTCTTCAACATATTGTCTGTTTCCCTCAACAGATTGCATATGTTAATGCTCAACAGGCCTGTCTGAATGGGACAAACAGACCAGATGCATCTCTCATCAGTTCACTCTGCTTGTCCCTGTGCGGTCTGTCCACTAGTTTGTGATTCATGGTACATGGGCCTACTAATGACCAACATCAGCGTTCAAGCCAAGCTGTAAGATTAACCAGCTCCTGGCTTATTATTGACATTGATAAAATGGGGACACAGACAAATACACAAACTATTTAGGAAGAGTAGACAGTCAGTCCGTTGGAGGAAGGTCATGTTTATTTATGGCACAGCTGCATAAAGCAATAACAACAGCCAAGTCAACATGCATACTTCATTGTTGAATTCAAAATTGGAGTTTTGAGGCTTTTTGTCTGTTATCCATTTACCTTCAGCATACCCCGCACCCCAAAATGCAAAATGCGTCTTTTTCCATTAATTGCCATTCAAAATTAGCTTTGTAATGTGTGTATATTTGATAAATTATAGAGATTTTTTTTAGTTTATAATTTATTCATTTTTATAATAATAAAATATATAATTTTAAATATAATATATAATTTTATATAATATTATTTTTAGTATATTTAAAGACCTCCTTAGTCAAATTTTTATGTCTTTTTAATCAATTGTTACTTTTTATGAAAAGTTTTTCAGTAATGGAAATCACACATTCATGATCTAAACTCTAAAGAAACTGTTCATGCATTCATAAGAATGAAGTAGTAGAGTTCATTAATTTGAGAGGGGTAATTAATCTCATATACCAGGAAGAAACCCCTGT